AATAAAACAAATAAAAAGAACAGATAAAAGATAAAGAACAAGATAAGACATTAATTCCTAGGGTAACCCAAGAAAGTTTTACAATATATAAAACTTATTTCCATTGGGCCCTTAAAAAATTGTAGACATTTTTACCACGCAAGAAACATAAAACAGTTAACAATAAAAAGCCAAAATTGACAAAAAAAAAAAAATATAATAGACATTAAAAAAGCTATATAAAAAGAGCTGATGCACTCTTATTTGAAACATTGCACATCATGCAAATTGTAAATAAAATAATAATGCTAGAGGACCCCACCAGAAAATATTTAAAAGACTAGTTCTGAAATGTGAGACACGTGTTGGTATATTGTTTGGAAGAATAAACTGCATCCTGCTAAAAGTGATGGCAGAACAAAGCCTCCACTTTTTAATTCTTGTTAAATCTAAAGATTGAAAGGTTTCTTCAGCTTTTTCTAAAAATTAATTTATGTAATTTTTAATAATCAAATTCTCCATGGAAATAATTGTTCATTCATCAACACCTTGTACATTATTACATTAGCAGCACAGGTAATAAATAACAAGAGTGATCGCTCACCGATCTGCAAGTTCCTCCATGCTTAAATACAGTTACAGGACCAAGTTATTATATTGGGTTTTTTGGAAGAGCTAATAAGATAGAAATGTTTAAATAATTAGAATGAATATTTGTACAAATTATTATTTAGAATGTTCATTTTTTTGTATTTAGATGTCTTAAAATTAAAAAAAAATAAAAAAATATCTTAAAATTTAAAAAAATATGTAGACCAAGACGAGATTCAAACTCATGACTTTTGGTTCTTCAGAACACATCCTTAACCAACCATGCCATCTGAGTGACGTGCCCTACAAGTTGTAATGGCAGTAATGTACCGTCCTTGCTGAACCCCGGGGATTAATTTATAAAAGGGCGATGAACGTTTGTTGCAAATCGCCTGTAGTTTATGTGTACAAAATTTCCTGCACGTCCGTTCAAAACTGGTGACGCTGGATGCTTTTAAAATTTTGGTAACAAATCAGAACAAGAACAGCAGTGAGGTTCTGGGGTCAGCGTCTTGCGTGGACTCAATAAATAGACGAATAAATAAATGTCTATAGATTTTTTAATTTAAATATAAGCCTCATTCCTCTCTATACACTGACATCCACCACAAAAATATGACAGGTCTTTGCCAAGCAAAAATACACAAAGTCCCACTGTTACAAGATACAAGATACTTTTATTGTCAATTATTAAAAAAATTCACAAGTAAAATTCTTACCAGAATGTTTTAATTTCTCTTGGATTGTCTGAGTGTTTTGCCTCTTAAATTGGTCCTAATGGGTGCATTGACTCATAATAGTAAATCTTTAAAGAAGAGGCTGCACAAAAGGTAGACAGAAAAAATTATTTATTTTTCATTTGGCCATAAAAAAGTGCATTTTTCTTAGTTGATATCTAAAATTGAAGCATCATTTAGTTACAGTAAACATGATTGGATGCAATTTCATAGAAAGCATGACAGACTTGGCCGAGAAAAACAATACACAAGTAAACAATCAAATAGCTGAGACACAAAGCATAAAAAGTGCATTAGTTGCTTCACTAGACACTTTATACCAGTGGCTCGGTACACAGATTAAATTTCTTTTGTTGGACAATTGGCTCCTCACATCTCAGGCTGACTTGTGTACTCGGCTCACACGTCTTTGTTTTCTCAGGATGATACCGAAATTGGACAGACGGCCGTTGCCAATGGCAACCTCTCTTCATATCCATTTGGTAATTTGAGTAAGTGATTGATAGTATATATGTACATATTTTTTTAATACTTAGAAGAAAAATAACGCTAAAAAAAGAACAACACCTTCAACTGCTTCATGGTGTCATTTTCAAGTTCAAATAATGAGATATACAGGATACAACTGCTTATAATCTATAAAACAAAAACTGTAAACTAGAATGTTAAAGTTCATAACAGTGGGATATTAATCCCTCAAATAAGCCCCCCCCCCCACGTCACTGTCATTAAAACTAGTTCTTCATGTCCAGTGTTTTATATGACATTCTAGTTTACAGCTTTTTTTTTTTTTATAGATTATAAGCAGTTGTATCCTGCATACCTCATTATTTTAACGTTAAAATGACACCATGAAGGAGTTGAAATGTATTCTTTTTTTAGTGTTATTTTTCTTCGAAGTATTTATACAAAACATACTCTTATTCGTATTATTTTTAAACATAATAATAAATATTTAAAACAATGATTAATTATTGTCATAAATATGTTTATATATAATTGATAAACTTCATATATTTAACATTAATTTTCTCCACATTTACAACTAATCATTAATTAATAACATGAGATTTTTAATAGCATATGCTTGATTAAGTTTTTATTGCTATCAATCAAGAATAATTATATAACTATCAGGCTACTAAATGATTCCTAATTTTTATCAACTGCAAATTCCATTTTTATTATATATTGTTTCTTAAGTATGCAAACTGAAGGCATGTTGATGAATGTTTATAGGCATACACAAGAAATGTGCATCTAAAAAACATTAAACATGAAATAATAATTGATTTATTATTGTGACAAAATTATAAACTAGAAATATGAGCAGACAATGTTATTGCGATTGCTACTGCACAACACCTCAATATCCCATCAAGAAGGTGATGAAGTATTGGAGTAGAAAATCTCAGGATTATGATTGTGGATCGAAAGATGTCTTTAATATTTATAGCTAATTATCACCGGTGTTTCAATATGTGACAGGGTCACATATAGGCCCTTTGGGAAATCTGTCGGGTCTCGCAGAGTTGAAGTAAATTGCTCCGAATACGGAATTCCCTTGTATAGTGTTTTGCATGCTGCAATGTGCAGTTGTTTCCGAGACAGCAATCAAAACAATAATGAATGCAACATACAAACATATTTACTGGTCTTATGTTAAAGGCCAATATACTTTTTGTGAAGATCTTACTAGTTAGGTCCTCTTTTTTCATATCTTGCCTCTTTGTTTTTCTTTCTTCATTTGTTTTTTTAAATTTTTATCAAATATATTAAATTAATTAAACTATCTTGATGTAAAATTCAATTTTAAATATTGTCCAAACAATTAGATGCATTGCCTTTTCCAATATACCTTTCCAATGCTATACAACAAAAAGACAGTAACTCCAAAAAGAGACAGAGACATTTTGAGATTCAACGTTTTGATCTATTTGATCATTTTCAAGAATACTTGTTTACAATATTTACAGAAGTATAACAGAAAGCAAATAAAAACCGACCAATCAGATTAAAATCCAATTTTTAACTACCCAATTGAAAAAATGCTATACCCTTTTATATTTTGTATTGTATTTTTTGGTGAAGAACAAGTTTCTTAATCTTATCAATCCTATTTTCGTGTTAATGAATTTCATTAATTTATATTATATTTTACCGTATTTAGTCCCAATGTTTAATTAATTTAAATTGAATGTGTACATAAAGCTTGATGTTGTAATTCATAGTAATGCTATTTATAATAATTAAATTGTAAATTTTGACCATTGTAATTCAAGTTGTAAATTTAAATTCTCTTTCAAATTTTATGTAATTATTATTCATGTATTTTTATAATTATATATACATTTTTTAATGTTGTTTTTTAAGTACCAATCATTGCAATTCAGCTACTGCTGTGAACATGACTTTTTATCTTTAACTTGATACTTATTAAATGAACATTCTAAATTCACACAATACATAATTTTTTTAAATGATAGAATTGTACAGTGAATCTAATACAACTTTTTAAAATGAACTAATATTATGCAATCTTCAAAAATATCTAAGAAAGGCAGACCAATTATTTTAGACTGGTCGCACTTGAGTCATGAGCGGATAAAGTACAAAAAAAAAACAGAAATTACATGACTAAGAGCAAAATAATCAATTACATTATCACTAGTGTGGAAGACATGCTCTGCTCAAAAATACTATCAACATGAGTTTCACCGGCCTTGAGTAACTCATTTTATTTTTACAGTTAATCAAAATTTAATGACAAATAAAAAAGAAAAGGAAATTGTAGAAAGGTGGATTAGGAAACATATGAATGTATTGATAGGTTCTTCCCCAAGCTAATAACTGCTAAAGTTACCATGCAGGTGTGATAAGTAATAAACCTTCAATATTTACCAATCACACCCTGTAAAAATAGCATATTCATTGTATGAAATAAAGCATAACTATATTAATTTTTTATAAAATATGAATGAATACTTAGAGAAGAATGAAAAATAAATGTCTGCAAATGAGTAATCATATGAATTAATAATTCATTGATAATATAATCCATCAGATATATCTAATTTCAATTAAAATTCATAGAAATTACTATAAGGCTCAAATTTAAGTCACATCAATTCTAAATACTTTTTCAAATTTTTCGGAATCAACTTGAGAGGTTTAGGTAATATATGAGACAATAATTCATGAATATATAGGTATAGTTTGAGGGGGGAAAATCAATTTTATTAGATTGCATAAACCAAAAGAACATAACTTTTTTAGTAGATTTTTAAATATTGCTTCGGGATACACATTGTAGGTGTTTTAAAATGAACATTTATACAGCCTAATTTAAGCATCGTATTTAAGCAAGTTTCAGTGTCAATGGCATTGTGTGCATTAATAGTGGGGAAACAGAAGTTTTAAGTAATTTCTTAAACAAAGCAATAGAACAATGTTTAATGTGTAGAGGAGTGAATCCCAAGTGTTGGTGTTGCAAAAGTATAGTAAAAAGTATATAGTAGAACACAGAATAATAGGAAAAGTAAAATAAAAACAATTTTAAATATTGACATTGTCTCCTCATCTATAACCACATTTTTAATGAGAAAATTCTTATAGTGTGCTTTAAATATATTCTAGCTGTAAATGTAATATCATAACATCATGATAATAAAAAAAATATTATTCATCTTTCAGAAATTTAAATTCCGAACTTAAACTATTCTAGAAAACAGTTATGACAAATGAGCACTGGAAAAAATAAGAATAAAGATAAACCAGAAAGAGAGCAAAGAGGGCAGGCTTGACAACCACAGAAAGTGATCAAGCAATGAAATGAGAAGTGTTTGTCAGAGGAGGATAGCAGACATGCATTTTATCCAAGGGAACCTGTAAGTTATGAAATAATTACGTTATTAAACAGTTTAAATATACAATATCTGTGTTAAACTCTGAAAAAAAAAACAGCTAAAAATTTCAGTCAAAGCATAAGATAATAAATTATCAATGTTCAATTAGACGGATTGAAGCAATTCAGTCTATATCTGATTTACTGACTTTTTACTACAAAAATCTGTTTGTTGAGTAGCCAATTTATGGCTCTATGCAAAAATATTTTAACAGTTTATTTATATACCTCTTAATTCATGTGGAACTATTTTCTCATTTGCATGTTCAATAGAAAGCTAACAGCATACTTGAATATACAAATATTGAATTAACTGTTCATGTTTATTTAATAAGTACAATGAGTATAATGTGTATCTAAGACAAAATACTCTGACCACACTATCAAATTTTATGTGACAAATACACATTATTTGCCCATATATGGGCATGATGACATCACCATGCCCATGTATGAATGTGATATCACATCACCATGCCCATATATGAATGTGATATCAGATCACCATGCCCATATACGAATGTGATATGACATCACCATGCTCATGAATGTGATATGACATCACCATGCCCATATATGAATGTGATATGACATCACCATACCCATGTATGAATGTGATATCAGATCACCATGCCCATATACGAATGTGATATGACATCACCATACCCATATACGAATGTGATATGACATCACCATGCCCATATATGAATGTGATATCAGATCACCATGCCCATATACGAATGTGATATGACATCACCATACCCATATATGAATGTGATATGACATCCCCATGCCCATATATGAATGTGATATGACATCCCCATGCCCATGTATGAATGTGATATCAGATCACCATGCCCATATACGAATGTGATATGACATCACCATACCCATAAATGAATGTGATATGACATCACCATACCCATATATGAATGGTGATATGACATCACCATGCCCAGACTGTTGTCATGGTGATTTTTGCTTTTAAGGTTGCATGTTGCAGGGTATTTTTTATATATTTATTTTTATTTATTTTATTTAATTTCACCAACAACAGCTTACACGCCAGAAGCAAATCAAAAAATACATTAGTTTTACCTAAATGGAACAATGAATTTGGGAAAAAACATTCAAATACCGCTCAGTTAAACTGTGCAACAATCTCTCCCCTGATACTCATAGTTCAATAAATTCCTTAACTTTGCATTCCTTAAAAAATTTTATTTAACATTACATTTTCATTTTGCTTCTTGTGTATACCAAATTTTGCTTGTGTTTACCAAATTTTCTTTTGTTTTTGTATATAATTTCTTAACTTTTATTTCTTATTTTAATGTTGTAACTATTAACTGGACCTTAAGGAACAACAATGTAAAAGTTGATTATGTATCCAGAATAAAGAAAGATTTCTATCTATCTATCTATCTATCTATCTATCTATCTAACAGGGAGCATACAGTAATTACAATATAAAATCAAAATAAAAACGATATAAATCATTATAAAAACATACAAAAATATTCAAAACATTACAAAAAACATTCATGATTACAACAATTTTCAATAGTTACTATATATACACAAGGAACATTATAATACAAATTTAAATAATTAAATTACAATTCCAGGGCCAGGTGTATTTATTTAATGTTACTTTATTAATGACTTTTAAATTTTAAATAATATGGCACCATCTTACTTAACATACTTGTTCTCTTTCAATGATTACAGCTATGACTTTCATAAAAGTAAACAAATGTACATGTTCCCAAACCAAAGACTAATTACAAAAAAAGAAGTATCTCATATCGTGGTGCTATTGAATGGAATAAATTAACCCCTGATGTTCAGTCTTCTACCAATTTAACTATTTTCAAAAACCACATCTGTACTAATAATTAATGAAACCAAAGTTAAATACAGTAGTATGAACATTGTATAAATCCCTATTTTGATGTTTTCTTGCCTTGTTTTATTTATATTTTACATTCCTTTTTGTAATTTTCTGTTTACTTTTGTGGAATGGATTTTCTTCATTTCGATAAGTTATTTTTGCCATTTGTTAGGTATAGATTACTTTTATTTTACTAAATTGTTGACTTTCTATCTACATTATTTAATTTGTGTGTTTAACTTTTGCTTTCTGATTATGTACCGTACTGTGTAATCTATGTTAATTGTAAGTAAGGTACGGCTATCTCACGACCACAATAAAAAACAGCATTATATTTGGATTTGTGCTTCGTGAATAAATAAAGTTTTACTAGTGCTCTAGTTGTCATCGTTGGTGTTATGGTGGAACTGAAATCAAAACTGAACGTCTGTGTTCGTAGCTGTCGTCGTCGTCATCATCATCATTCTCGTTAGCTGAATCAATGTCATTAAAGAATTGACAAAATCATCATCATAATTCCTATTAGCAGAATCAATTAATGGAAGCATTAAAACAATAAACAGAAATATTTGTGATTCAATATTTCGACATTAATTATGTCATCCTAATGAAATATTTGTACATTACAGATCAAGCCTGTGAATATTCAATAATCATTGTTTTATTATTTGGGTGGGCATAAAAGTATTTTTAATGTATTTGTTTCTTAAACATTTCAACATACAGCAGGGGCTGCTCAAGATTTTTTCAATGTGAAAATTCAGTGAAAATTTGGTTGAAATCGGCTCAGTAACAAAGGAGAACATCCCGGACACAAAAACCCCAATTTGCCTTTTATAGATGTAAAAGTAAAACAAATGTATATGTTCCCAAACCAAAGACTAATTACAAAAAAAGAAGTATCTCATATCGTGGTGCTATTGAATGGAATAAATTAACCCCTGATGTTCAGTCTTCTACCAATTTAACTATTTTCAAAAACCACATCTGTACTAATAATTAATGAAACCAAAGTTAAATACAGTAGTATGAACATTGTATAAATCCCTATTTTGATGTTTTCTTGCCTTGTTTAATTTATATTTTACATTCCTTTTTGTAATTTTCTGTTTACTTTTGTGGAATGGATTTTCTTCTTTTCCATAGTTTATTTTGCCTTGTTAGGTATAGATTACAGTACTTTATTTTATTAATTTGTTGACTTTGGCATACAGTACTGTTTAATAATTATATTTTGTATCTATTTTATTTAATTTCTGCATTTAACTTTTGCTTTTTATGATGTACCTTTATGTGTAATTTGTTAATTGTAAATAAGGTATCTCACAGCCATAATGAAAAACAGCATGTATTTGTTGATTTGTGCTTCGTCAATAAATAAAGTTTTAATACTACTCTCATATCTATATATTTCATATTACTTAATTGTATCAATAAGGTAAAAACATTTAAATATAAGTTGTTATAATAATAATGATATGTAATAATAATACTAATAACAGTTGTATTAGTTGTAGTAATAGAGGTTTTGGATATAGTACTTAATGATAATAATAATATTAAGATAATAATGTAACAATAATAATGTTAATATTCTTATATATAAATATTCTTTTTTAAAAATAACTTTAAATATGTAGCATTTCAGAAGAAATTTATGAATAAATGAATGTTGCTTACAGTAAAGTCTGGCCTAAGAACGTGTAAATCATTTATTGTGACTTTAGTATTCATTTCTATGTTACAAATGGGAAGTTGATTGGGATGAAACTAAATGTCAAAGTTCAACCACAAATCAAAATAGAAAGCTTAGCTATCTAGTTTCTAGTATCACTCAATATTATTTTTAGAGAAACACAAATTTAAATAAAACCACTGAGTTTTGATATTGCCTTAGGCGTTATCGCTGCACAATATTCCATGCTAACAACTACATCAGGTGGGTATCCAGTGTGCTAATGCCTATTATGCAAATGTAACACTGACTAACATACTAGCTATTAGGAATTATAAAAAATAATTTCGTCAGAAATACAAACTAAATTCTGGTATGTAAATCTTATAATGGATAAACGCTGATTGTGCAACTATGTGAAATATTTACATACAAATTCAGGCCATAGTATCATAATTGCTATTTTAAACTTTTGTGTCAGGCCTAACAAACATTATAATTGCTATTTTAATTCTGTTCACATGTGATATGGAGAACAACTTAAAGAGAAAAGATGACGTCAATAAATCAGAAGATACTTGAGGAACAGTCCTAGCAATACACTGACCTGAAGAGTGCCCTCTATAGGCTTAATTTGATTTTAAAATATATTTGTGAGGCGGCATGTATAATGATGATGATGATGATGATGATGATAATTATGATGATAGTAAATATGATGATGATGCATCATGAAATATAAACAATTTTATACTATTGTGCATTTTTGTTTGCTTGTGGGCCTAGGGGAGATCAGTCATTAATTCCTGAACAGGCCACCCAGAAATAGAAATTTGAAATAGATTTGCTTTCTTCCTTTAATTATTTTTGTAGGTAATTAAGATCTATGCTTTCATTATGTAATAAAAGAAATAATAAATTATAATATTCTAATCTGTAAGTCTAATTAACCTAACAAATTGTTTTACATATAATTTTTTTTATATAATTTTATTTATCTTTTCTTTTTGATATAATGATAATGGTAACAATAAGAAATGATAATGATCACAAAGATAATAATGATATATACCAAACATAAAACCATATAAATAAACCATATATGTTATTACTTCGCCGTGCAAACCTTCAAACAATACGATAATAATGATGTTAATGATGGTCTACGGGTAATGTATGTTTACACAAATTTGTGTTTTCAATTATCGTTAGTAGTTAATGAAGCAGCCTTCCTAATAGATTTATTCCGATTCTTTAGTTGTTTCCATCATACAATTTAATTGGTCTCAAATAATTTGCTAAAATCAAATACTATATATGTATTAATACTAGTCGCTATTTTTGTTTACTTTGTTTGATGATTAATGTGGAAGAGAGGAGTGGACTATTTTTGTTAGGTAGGCAAGACTATTTTTATACCTTGTACAGCAAACCCACCGCCCGCCAATAATGATGAATTTAAAATAAAACATAATTAATTTTTGCCCAATTAGTGCACCCGCCGCCACAAAAAATTCGAAATTTTCAGACAAAAATTAAGGTTTTCTTATTTTTATTACGCCCGCTGCTGCCTTGAAATTTCCAAAAATAAGATATGTATATTTCTTCCCAAAATTTAATTTTTTTTTCTACTCTCTCCTGCTCTCCTGACAATCTTTTAAAAATATGTTAGTGAAACTTGGTATAAAAAAAAGTCTCGGCTTGCCATTGTCTAACACACATACCAATTGCCTGCCATATTTCAGAAGCTAAATTCTCAGTGTTGAATACATGGTTTATTACTGATGTTTTGCTTTTTCTTTTTCATTGCTTTCATTTGCAGAAGATGTTCATTATGAAAATGCTCCAATGTTATTTTTATATTTTGCATGTTGTACGTCCTACAGCATTTAAGAATAAAAATCTCGGTTCACTTTTGGTTATCAAAATAATTGTAGCATTACCTCTAGCACTACCTCTAGCCAAAAGCTTGAATATAACTAATATGAAGCCAATCAATCAATCATTCAATCACACAATCACAAATAAATTCATTCAATCCTACATAATGATATATCATAATGTTACAAATAAGTATAAAAGAAAATTAAAATTGTAGGATCTGGGAGACTCTCTAAGACCAAAGGTCACAAGCATGAGAGCCACCCAGTAAATTAAATAATTAATGAAGATTTTAAAAGAAAACAGAAGTATTGTAAACATTTGCCTTCTTAAAATAAAATACAAAATCTCATTCTCATGTAATGCTTTTCTTTTCTTTAATAAATTTTAAAAGCATAATCCAATTTTAATTAATTTAATGAACAACTTAATCTAAATAAATAGCATTTTTATTTGTCAAAATATATAAAATACAAATAGAGTCTAACTTTTAGCAATGTATATACATAAACACACACACAATTTATATTTTTTCATTTCATTTATTTAGAGGTACTGTAGAGACCAACTTAAACTAGACAAAAATGAGATGAAATATTTCAAAATTAAAACATTAACATTATTTCTTTAACAAAATGAGCAAGCATGACTAATTGTTTAACATTACAAGTTTGAAATAACTGCTGAAATTTTAAAACACTTGGATGAATATAGAAATATTGGGTTTTTTTTAGGAACAATTAAAACAGGATAGTTTAAAACATATTGAAATTCGTCACCTATCCTTTTTATCACAGAGTGTACATAGTTTGTTAGATGCCTCTGGTAAGTATTGACCCTCAGAAATAGGCAACTTATGGTTCCTACAACAAAATCTACGCAGGTTTACTCTATTGAGTGTGTTTTGTTCGATTAAATATCTTTCGAAATCACAATTTGTTTAAATTTATATGCAAATATATAAGAATTCTAAGCTACTGTGATTCTGATACTTGTTTTTTAAAAATAATTTTCTTTTTAAATAAAGTTTCCAAGCATATTGGAAACTAAACTAATTAATAATATTCATGACAGGGACTCCTATACTGTTTACAGCACTACAGTACTGTACATCAATAGAGCAGGCAAACATCTTGCTTAAAAAAAAACTCTTCCGGCCTTTACTAATATAGAATCCTATATAAATTCATATCCCAGGCACGCGACAAGCTATCTGTTATTAAATTTTGTGTCTCGTGTTCAGGGAATGGTTCAGGTAATGGTCACGGGTCATCATTAAAACGTCAATGAATGTCCAGAGGCATGGGTCACCGAGTCAAGGTGATGGTGTCTGTTTGTTGACTTACAGAATTTCAGTTTCGACCGTCTATAGCGATCAATCCAATCCCTCGATGAATACTGTAAATATTTTTCTGCGCAATTAAATTAAAGAAATGTGATAGAACACCAGTAGTCAAGACTGCATATGAATTAAATCAAAAGATATATTCCAGCTTTAGTGGTAGTGGGAGAAAGAGGTAATGTCTACCTCTTTATGTTTTGTTGCAAGTAAATGAGAAATAAGTGGTAGTGTTAGAGTGAAGGAAAACTAAATCTAATTATGACACTACAACTAAAAATAAATATATGAAAAGCTCATAGCCAAAGAAATCAATAACACCACAAATGAATTTTTAAGTAACAGTCAATACTAATTTACTGACAAATGCCTCAACGAAATCAAAATGTCTTGCAGTACTTCTGTGTCTTGCCACCTATGTTATGAGATATGTGGAATAACATTAATTACATTGATTGCAATAATATGTGTATATATATATATATATATATATATATTTTTAAAAGGCAAATGGGAAAACCCATGAAACAGCAAACGGCCACATAATGCAAAACTATTTAAAATTAAAACGGAACAGTAGAGAAAATCCGA